ATCGAACTCAGGAGAGGTCTGCCACGCCATGTGGATCTCCTCCAGGGCAGGCGGGAATCGAACTCATGCGGAAGCGGCTTCAGCTTCTCAGTGCTGTGCTTTAACCCGCTGCGCCACCGGGGAAGGCCCGCATTTCTATAAATTTAAATAGAAGTGACTTTCATATCATGGCAACGGACAATTAGTGATATTACAACAATTTCTTGAGTGTTCTTTTATGTTTCTTTTGTCTGCTACATGTTTGTTTCAGCAATCAGTTGGAAATGGATCTCCATTTGCAGTGGTTAGAAATGTGTGTTAAAAGTTACTACTTTGTAGTTGCCCATATCTTTAGATACTGTCATCATGGTGCTTAAAATAAATGGCTATATTATAATAAATAAATAAATAAAGATTTTTAAAAAAATCCCTATCACAATCCCAGTGGAATTTTTCCATAGAAATAAAACAAAATCTCGGCCCTCCCTGGTGGCACAGCAGGTTAAAGCACAGCACTGAGAAGCTAACGCTCTTTCTGCGTTGGTTCGGTTCCCGCCTGCCCCGGAGGTGACCACATGGTGTGGCAGACCTCTCCTGACCCGCCCGCTGCTCCCCTCAGCAATGTGCTTCATAGATCTGCCTGTTCTGCTCCCCACTCTGTCTCTGGTGAAGCCTCTCCCCTGAGCCTCTGGCCTGTACCCCAGTTCTGTATGAACAAATAAATAAATCTTTAAAAAAAAAAAAAAGAAAGAAAGAAATAAAACAAAATCTCATGAAATTTATTTGGAACTACAAAGATTATAAATAGCTAAAATTCCCCTATTAAAAAAGAAAAATAATGATTGCCAATTTCAAACTATGCTACAAAACAATAGTACTTAAAACAGTTTGGTATTAGAATGAAAATAGACATACAGATCAATGGACTGAAATGAGAGCCAAGACATAAAGTCACACGAATATGGACAATTAATTTATGAAAAAGGAGTCAAGAGCATAGAGTGGAGCAAGGAAAGTTTCTTCAACAAATGGGGTTAGAAAAATGGACATCCACAGGCAAAAGAATGAATTAGAACACTCTCACTATATACAAATGAATTAAAGATTTGGGTTCACTACTGATAACCATAAAATAGAAAAAATTAGAGGTGATATGGTCCTTGATGTCAGATTTAGAGTTGTGTTTGAAAACTCAGCTCCAATGGCAGGGAAACAAAAGTAAAAATAAACAAGTGGGATATCATCAAACTAGAAGGCTTCTGCACAACAAAAGAAATATGCATCAAACTAAAATGAAATGTTAGTGAATGGAAGGAAATATTTGTAGTTAAACATCTGACAAGGGGTTAATATCTAAAATGCATAGGGAATTTATACAACTCACAAACAAAACACCAAACAACCTGATTAAAAAATGGGCAAGGGATATAATAAATACTTTTCTGGATTACCAGCAGACACAAGATAAGATTTAATTATCTCTTATTATTAGAGAAATAAATCAAAACAAACACTTCACATCTATGAGAATGGTTATTATTCAAAGTTGGAGATTACATGAAGAGAAGAGAAACTGTACACTGTTGATGGGAATTAAATTGATGCAATCATTATCAACAGCAGTATAGGGATGCCTAAAATTAAAAATAGAAATTCTGTTTAATATAGTCACCCCAGTTATGCTATTTAACAACAACAAAAAAAAATACACAACAATTATTCAAAGATATATATGAATGCATTGCTTGCTGCACAACATTTACAACAGCCAAGAACTGGAATACTGGAATTAACCTAAGTGCCTATCAAGAGATTAATAGATAAAAATGATGTAGTAAATATACACAGCAGAATACTATTCAACAATAAAAATAATAAAAGTCTTCCATTTGCAACAACATGGTTGGACCTAATGGTAATAATTCTTAGTTAAACAGAAGACAGAAAAGACATATAAATAATGTCATTTTACTTATCTAGAGGAAAGAAATCAATGAATTAAATAAACCAAAAATGAACCTTTATACCAATTAGTTATTACCAAAAAGGAAAGGGGAATAGATAAATTAGATAAATGATGTAGAATATAATTTGATTTTAGAGGTGAACTTAAAATGCTACTTCAGATGTTGATTTTTAATGATGGACAACTGAAACTGACATAATTTTATATCAATAAATGAAAACAGAAAACATTAAAAATCCCGTAAGATGGACTCTCATGCAGTAAGTGGATTCAATTCAATGAATCTACTGAACATACTTCTCCACAAGTTGTCCATGTAAACTCTCAGATAATAGTTACAAATTAGATACTTGCATTAATATCAGGTGTCAGAAATACATAGTTTAAAATGTACACACACAAACATAGAGAAAGGAAGTAAGAGGAATACAGAAAAAGGAGAGGAAGTTGAAAGAAACAACTAGAGGTACAGAGAAGGAAGGAAAGAAAGGGAACAGGAGAGGGGAAACAGAGGAAAGGTTTCTCCTTGATTCTTTACATTCTAATCCACAAATGGGTTTAGGGAAGACTTAAACTTATAAAACATTTTCTGGCACCTCTGTTTAAACTGTGTCATGCACTGCAGATTTTATTCAATAACATATCCTGAAGCTCTTTATGAGGTAATAATTTTAACTCTGTCTCATTCTATTGAAATTGAACTCAGTTCTGAGAGAACAGTCATTTCTTCAGATCATTTTTGATTCTTTTTAATGACCAAAACATCTAGTGACAAGCTCCTGCACTCCTAAATGGGTTTGATGACCTCTGACCTTACTTCCTTCACACTCAACATCTATAGACTCCTCAGAACTCCCAGAGTGCCTCAGATACAGTTATTTCATTGGCCCCTTGGCCAAAGAGACTGGGTAGGACATAGTACAGGTGCATGGACAAGGTGTTTGAACCTGGCTCTGCCAGAGAGATACCGGAGTGAAGTTCAATAGACTAGAAGGCGGCAAACTGGAATATAGGAAATGCTTTCTCCAGAGGTCACTTCTGAAGACCATTGAATGGACAGAAGACCTTTTTCAGGGCCACTGTGGAAGCATGAGTTGAAGATGGCAAGGCTACATGAGGAAAGAAGCCTAGCCCCCTGGGACACCTCAAAGCAGTCATGCCTTCCAGGAATACTTGGAAAGAATATGGACATACAGCTCCACAGAATCCATGAAATTATAATCTCTGCCAGTTCTCACTGGTTTCTCCTTAGTTATTAGGATTGGATTCCTGGTCTCTTAGTTGAAATTTCTATGGGGACCCTTCATCTATGCCCCTCCCTACCTAAATTGTAGAGATGGAGTATCAGAGATGGGAGTCACTTTGTGCCGGACTAGGCTTTCTTACAGCAGGAAGAAATCAAATCAGGAGAATGAGCCTCATTTTGGAAAGGGACCCAGCCTCTCTGCTCTCACTTGCTCTATGCAAAGAGACATGGTGTGGGACTCCCCTGACATCAGGTTTGCCGAAGGACCTAGGGTGGACCAACTGCCTCTACATTTAGCCTTCCCATGGCCACCAGCCTGTAAAATCAGGCATTTCTCACCTACACAGCAAAGTGGCATCTGCTTTCTAGAATTTGTCTGGCCTACTTCCACCAGCCTAACTGATCTGTTTTATTGCTGGACACCTGTTTATCTTATAGACAGAACATTGCCAGGTTCTGAATAGTCCACTTGTGGTCCACAGAGAACCAGAACCTGGAGGCACAGCTTGGGAGCATATTACAGCCATGAAGAACCTCCCAGATCTACTTGCTGGTTGATCCTGGAGAGCCTGTGGGGAACTTAGCTGGTGACAGTTGAGAACCTGAGATAAATCCTGGGTGTTTCTGGGTTTCCATGGTACCTCCCAGAATGTGCTACAGTGGTGTTTCTGACAGGAGTTTAAGCACACTCTCTAAGAATGAAGGTTCTAGGCAGAAGGCGTTCTGTCCTTGATGAAGTCTATGGATAACATAGGAAGGATGTTGGACCAATTGCACAAGTCCAGGGAAACTTCCAGTCATGTTCCAGCCAGTCTTCCCACATCACAAATCTTGTGTTTTGTCACAAGATCTCAATATGTCCTTTCAAATTCCTGAAGAAGAAAATCAAGAATAGCCTTTCAGTTGTGTGGAAAACAAACAAACAAACAAGTGGTAAAAGAATTTGTAGCAGAAATAACAAGTCTCCAACTTGAGAAAGCATCTTTGCAACATGGAAATTCACAACTTGTGAGGTTCAGCAGCTGATGATAAAGCTTCAAAGTCTGCCCGATATAGAAAAAGAGTGTGTCATACAGCTTCACAGAAAACTGAGGGAGCCCTCCCTGGTAGCGCAATGGATTAAATCACAGCACTGGGAAGCTAGCCGTAGCTACTTCAGCTTGATTTCGATCCCCACCAAGGGCGGTAACCCACATGGCACAGCAGACCTCTCTCGACCCACCCACTGCTCTCCTCAGCAGCGTACTTCATCAATCTGCCTGTTCTGCTCCCCATTTTGTCTCTGGTGAATTCTCTCACAGCCCCTGCACCTCTGGCCTGTACTCCAGTTCTGTATGCATAAATAAATACTTAAATATTTAAAAAAAGAAACACTGTTTGAGGAAGGAAACACTGCTTAGAAAATAAGGAGAAACTTCACAAGTCTCTCCAAGAAGATGGCCAAAGACCTGAACAAAAATTAGAGTTACTCACGATCATCAAAGAGAGTTCTTCCGAGGGAAAGAAGCTCAAGAGAAATTGGTGGCAGCTGTTTTGAATGAGAAAAAAACTCAAGCAGTTGAGAAAAATGGTCGCGGTAAGCCAATGCTAGCCAAAATCAATTGCCAGGCTTTCCAAAAGGGCTCTTTTGCTCTGCTGTTCCAGTCAGATCCCACAGAGACCTGGAGACATCAGGGAGACTGCTGCATCATCAGGCATTCTGGGAATGAGGAAGGTCACACTCTGAGTGCCCAGAGATGTGGGGGTCATTTGCAGGTTTCCATGGCAACTGGGTCGTGAACTACCACAACATCTGCATGTCTTATCTCAAAGTAATTTTGATTTATTTCTTATTATTTTGGTTACTGTCAATTAACTTTGCCTTCAAGTAGGTAAGTTTAAAGTTGGTAAGATGTTTTGTTTCACATACATTTTCATTTAATACAAAAAGTAAAAAGATCATTTTAGAAGTAAAATGATTGTGTGTCACTCTATATCAAATTACCGTGCATTTTTTTTCTTTTAATAATCTTAACATGCCTGTAAGTCATTTTATTATTATTATCCTCAATAGTATTAGCTTCTTGGGGATGATATAACAAAATGATCACAAATGGGTGACTTAACAACAACAGAAAGTCATTCTCTTAACATTTCTCAATTACAGAATTTCAAAATCATTGTGTTGCTATAGATATACACTTGAAACATACAATGTTATAATGCAATGATAGTTCAATTTAAAACATTTAAAGAAAAGAAATAGGAATAAGGGAGAATGAGAAAGTTTCCTTGGAGACTGAGCACTATCAAAAAGTAATTGTTTAGCTTATTATATTAGAATGAATTTCAGTAAGGGTTTGAAAAATAATTTATTTCCACTTCCAGTGGGTGAGGGTTTTGAAGAACTATCAGAGAGACATTAGCAGGTTGAGTATCTGGAGAATATTTCACTGCTATATTGAGCAATGTTTTATGAACTGGGTTGAACTATGCTAGTTTTGGGATTTGGACATATCTAACCACGTATGGAACTCCAGAGATATTTCTACAGATAAGTATCTCAAATTTGGAATCACATATTGGTAAGACATTTGAAAAGGTTGCCCAGAATGAAGTTCCACAGCAAAACAGAACAACAAATCTATATTTATGGGTATAAACATAGTAGATAATCAATATTTTTAAATCATGATCTGGCCAGTGATCTATGGATAAAAACAATAAAGTCCAATATCATAAGAAGAATTATATTAAATTCTTAATGCCCTCAGATTACAGAATCTGACATGTTGTGTGATTTACATGCAATTTCATTATCCATAAAATTTTAGTACTTATTTCATAGTCTTAGAAACAATAATCAGTGAGGTAATACATGCAAAGTATTTAGCATATGGTTGGCATAATGTAAATTTATATATATATATATGCCTTTGATATCTAAAAAGTGTTTTTTTTTTAATGAATCTTCTATGTTCTTTTACATACATGCTAGGCTAGTTTATGATACTCCTATGTATGTCTTTTCCTTATATATTATTTCATTCAATTTCACAAGAAGTATATAGAGTGCATTATCATTCCTTAATATTAAAAAGAGAACCATAATTCAGCTTGATAAGCATGTGACAATCACCTCTAATTAGTATGCTCATGGGAAATACCTGAGTTCTGGTCTAATTTGAACTTATCTTCCAATTCTCTCAGTTAACACACCTAGAGCAACTATCTGATTTACTGTGATTGGACTCTTATTCTATTGACTCCGTAGTGTCCATCTATTTTATTGGATTGCTTCACTTTCACTAATGTAATGGCGGGAACTTCCCTGCTTTCAAAATTCAGATAGGATGAATAACATTTTATCCTAAGAATATCTCTCTTTCTTCTTCTTGCTTCCTCCACCTCTCCTTCCTCCCCTCTTTTCTTCTTCCATTCACCATCCCTCCCCTCTTCTCTCTCATTGCTTTCGGCTCCCCTGCTCCTATGGTCTACATTTTCTGCCACTCTGAGGGGTAGATTGCCCTCTCTTTGCTCATGTTTACACACCATTGTTTCTCTGACTCTATCCCAAATTCTTAAATCCACAGTAGCCACATCAGGAAACCAAGGATTATATTCTACAACAGCATTTAAACAATCAAGAATTTGAGATAAAGAAATACAAGCGCCGTAATCAGCTAGCAGATGCTTAAGTAGAGAAGCAAAAGTAGAAATAGGAGATTGTCCCATTTTGTAAATCCCTACATCTACTTATCACTTTCTGTAGACTCACTGTCGCTGTCGTGTCCTGTCGTGCAGGCAAAGGCTCCAGGTCCCTGTCCGGGTGCCACTTGTGGACTTCTAGTGAGTCCAGCACCTGGGACTCAGTGGTGAAGGAAATCAGACACAGAGGACTGCTATGTCCAGCATGCAGTGAAACTTTATTGTTTTTGTGCTCATTATATACCACTTCAAGGTACAGCAAAATGTAACTTGAAAGCATACCATACAACACTTATCTACTGAACTGGATACTCTCTTTGAGCTATTCTGCCAACCTGGTACAGACAATTAGGCGCCTTGAACTCCAGGTGGTTTAAGTCTGCATATATTATCAGTTCCTCCTGTCCAACGCAAGGAGACCCCTTTTAAGTGACATGCTATTAATTATCTTCCCCTGGGAGTAAAAGGGACATGACTCTAAATATGCCTGGTCATCCAGAGATTTTCCTCCAGGACACATGCATTTTCACTATGCCTTGGAGTTCAGTTGAGGTCTAGTGGTTCACTACACCCACTCACTGAGTTACTGCCAATGGTAGAGTAGCATGTGATTGTGGTCATGTGAACTTGTATGGTAAGAAGTGTGCTAAAGTATGGTTATTTCAGAGTTTTCTTTCAAAAATCATCTCTTGACTCTTATTTCTGGTCAAAATTGAAAATAAAATCTCTATTGAATAAAAGCACAGATACACATTGATATTGAATCTAGTAACTAACAGTTTTAAGTGCTATTTCTATCTTAAATTTTCTAAGATGAATTCATATAAGTAAAAATACCCCTCAGTGAATTTAACGGATTTGAAAACTTGGATAGTTACCAGAAGATATTAAGTATAGCATTATGGAGCCCAACATAGTTGTAAAGAATCATGTTTGTGAGATGACTCTTTAGAATCTCTGACTTAAAAAAGAAAAAATAAATAAATAAATAAATAATTCTCATAAATATACAAATATACAACTTTGGAATACATTGGCCATAATGAAGTTGAAAATGGTGTTGATTCTCAGTTTACTGTGTGCAATATTAAAGTTTGAACTTACTTGTATTTATACAATATTGGTTATATTTTGGCCTTACTTTTTCCAAATACACTATAAATGTGCTCATCTTTTTGAAGTAACTTGTATTATAACCTACAAAGTTATAGCATGATTACCTTGGGTACCATCCATACTATTGCAAAAGGCCAGATTTCATCTTTTTAAATAGTTGCATAATATTCCATTAATTATATATGACATATTGTTTATCAAATCATCCTGCAGTGGTATATAGTTTTTTCATTGCTAACTTACCCCTCAAAAATATATGTTTTTGTACAGTAAAGACTCATTTTATTTTTGTGACACTTTAATTATTTAATGATCAAAATGTTTTCATTTGGAACACCTTCTATTTTTTCAGCCAATTTTGTCTTAATATTTACCTAGTTAAATACACAGTTACAGGTACACACAAATACTTTATTCATTTTGTTTATGCTAAGAGTTAGTGATTTGTCTTTATTTTGTTTTGTTTTGTTTCAATGTGAGTTCTATTCCAATTCCAATGCACATTTACTAGGTAACAGTTTAGCACTGGATTTTAGCAGATGTTCTGTATCTTATTATTGGATTCATGAAATATTGACATTGCCAGTTTTACTTTGTCATCAGTTTGTTCTGCACTGTCTTGTATTGTCACAGGCACCCAACATTTGACAAAACACTGACCATACATATAAATACTCAAGAAAAAGGGAAATCTGAATTGAGACTAACTTTATAAGTAGCCAATTAACTAATGATTTATGCTGTGATTGTGATTATTTTGCTTCTCAGCTTGTTTTATGACCATGTGGACATTGAAAATGAATATTGAGAAATTAGAACCATTTGTATATGATTTCTGGCAAACACTTTACATCTTAACTATTCTCCTGAGAATATGATTCTCTTCCAAGATGTCTTGTGCCAACAATTACAGCATAGCTCATGTAAGACACTGCTGCATGGGTCAGAACTAGATGAAGACCAGCACCCTAAGTAATTTGCATATGGACACTTAGTTGAAATAGCTTCAGTAGGTTTGGCAAGTCCTAGTAAAACTCCCATCTCATGCAAGAGTAAGGAATAAAGACTACAAAAAATAAAGGACAGAGTGATATCAAAACACCAACTTAAATATCATTGCATTTCATCTTCAAAAGAAAAGTTGTATACATATATTTTCTGATAGAATTAATTCATTGATTAATTCAAGCAATAAATATTAAAAATATTTTCAATGTATCGAACACCTTGATATGTTCTACAAATCAACACGGCAAAGTGAGATTGCATAAAATGAAAAATGAAGTAGTTTCCCAGTAGTCCTCTTTAATGAAACTCTAAGGAAGTCTAATATTTCTGATCTGATATTTAATTCATAGTTTAAAAAAATATTTGAAAATAAGGTCTTAAGTAGATGTTTTCCAATAAAAAACAAGATGGGCCCTCCCTGGTGGCACAGCGGGTTAAAGCACAGCACTGAGAAGCTAAAGCCACTTCCGCATGAGTTCGATCCCCGCCTGCCCCGGGAGGAGATCCACATGGCAAGGCAGACCTCTCCTGACCCGCCCTCTGCTCCCCTCAGCAGTGTACTTCGTAGATCTGCCTGTTCTGCTCCCCTCTCTGTCTCTGGTGAATCCTCTCACCCTCTGCATCTCTGGCCTGTACCCCAGTTCCATATGAATAAATAAATCTTTAAAAAAAAAAAAAAACCAAGATGGTTGTTTAAACATACCTCAAATAAATCAGTCTAGATCTAGGTAGAGTTCAGGCTTTATTTACCACTCTCTAACAGTTATGAATACACAGTCAACTGGTTAACATGCAATAGACTAAACTGTTCTCTGGGAGAGGAAAGCACTGACCCAACAGTACTCCAGTATGAGTTAAGATAAACTTTTAAGTTGCACAGATCCAAGATGAATATATGCAGTTTAATATGCATGTGGTTGCAAAATCAAACTTCAGCTTGTACAAAATAACATAAGAAACCATTTATACTGAACTTCACACACAGTCTAATGCATTACCTTCTCTTAGCAGCTAGAATATACCACCCCAAAATCAATTCCCACATGTCATGTAGAGTTTAGTGGTTTTAGAACAACCAAAGAAAATTACATCTCATAATGATGCCGCTTGGAAATGTTTTGATTCTTAGTTTTGAGGCTTATATATCAGAACAAAACATAATTGTTTTATCCATTCTTATAATCTTCAGCTCTTTGTACCATCTACAAATTGAAAATTGTTATAATGCCAGTACTTCTTTTCAATTTCCAGTGGATTGTTTCTTGGTGTCTGTGATAGTATTTATAGTTGCATTATCTAACAGAACTGTGCTCACTCAATTATTTTTTAAAGTGTCTAAATAATTTCATGAGATGAATCAGTTGGATTCATGTGTGACCTACTTAATACTATTAATTAGCCACTTGTCAACTTATGCTCACAACCTTATTATGCGACTAGAAGATGCTGAAATGAAAAGAATACACTGACCTCTATGGTGGAAGAACACACTCTTGGTGGACACTAAATCAAATATAAGGCAGCTTATTGACTGAAAGCAAAGCAGAATGTTCCTTGCAGAGAACACTAGAAAAAAAGAAGAAAGAAAAAAAAATACAATTACATCCACAAAAATTTACTTGTAAAATGACAATACTGAAATTTCCGAAGCTTGATTTTCTCCCTTTATTGATCAGAGATGGGTGATTTCCATGTCCCAGGTACATTTGATGTGAGTTTAATGCCTGTTTTTTTTTTTTTTTAAACTTTTGTTATATAAGAATTTGGTGAGGAGGAGAGGGATGCCAAGCAGGACAATATGTCAAGGGGTCTTCCTCTTTGTTTTTCTCCTTTTTGACAGCCAAGTACTAGTGATGGTAGTTGCTACAAGTCTCTGTCACCAGCAACTCCCAGGCGAATGTCCCCGCCTCTGGGGTGGAGCACTCTCTGAATCATTTGCCCCCTCTTCCCCACTAGGCAGAGAGTTTGGTGTCTAGATTTCTCTTTAAGCTTTCCAATTAACTTTTTAAAAAGTGGGAAAAGTAAAAATAGTTTCTACTGGGCACTGATAAAGTGCAGAATCTGTATTAATTGTTTGACACAACATAGACCCACAGAACAAATAAACCATTATCACCCTCAACACATGCTGGAGAAAGGCCCGTGGACCAGTCACCTTCCAGATAAATTTTCCAGACTGGAAAATTTAATCTCTCTCCCATGTGTGGATTCCATAATTGATTTATGATAATAGCATTTGATAATACATTGCTTATATTTATACTGAAATAAATCTGTTTGTCTAACATCAACTCTCCTTAACTGAAGACCAAGATTTAGTCAGAACCAAAAAATAAGCCCTGTAGAATTAACTATGTTTTATCAGAGAAAGAAAGCATTACATGCCTGAAAAACAATTCAGCTGGAAGGCTTGGAATTCCAGTGTCGGTTCCTTCTCTTATTAACTCATAATAGCAAGTAACCCAGAACTTTATCAGTAATGTGAATAATTATTTAACTATCATTTAGGGTGTTGATGATAACACATATAAAAAAGCTTTTTGAAGATTTTATATACACATTAATTGTACTAGGGGTCATGTGATACTAAAATCATTTGTTCTCTTCTTCTTAGGATCAAAACTGTCTTCTCCATCTTTGTATCTTCTCATTGCACCCAGAACTGTCTTATCCCAAGCAGGCATTCATAAATATGTTGACATTTTTTATTGTTTAGAGCTAACATTTCAATAAAGTTAGCATGTGTGCTACCATTCTATCTTTAAATGAAAATTTGACAAACTCCTAGAAGTTGTAATAAATGTGTTTTGGTGTTTCAAGCATTATTATTATCGTTATTATATGCTATTATTTTTTAAGGTCTGTCTTACTCAGCTCCATACAAATTCTCTCAACCTTGGCATATATAATGATGTTCTGAAAAAAAAGTCTAATTATCCTAAAGAAGAATTCAATTAATAACAACTGTTCTCTGGTTTAAAAATAATATTTTCAACTAAGCAACTGCTTATTATTTACTCATAATTAAACTTAGATTCACTTAAGGAAAGGCCTTTTTGATATATAATGGAATGATAATTATACATTATTCCATAAAAACATACAAATTGCAAGCATTTTCTGTAAAATATTTTAGGGCATGTTATTTATATTTAA